GTGTCCCTGGCTCAGTGGGTGCCATTCCCCTGGCTCAGTGGGTGCCGTGTCCCTGGCTCAGTGGGTGCTGTGTCCCTGGCTCAGTGGGTGCCGTGTCCCTGGCTCAGTGGGTGCCATTCCCCTGGCTCAGTGGGTGCTGTGCCCCTGGCTCAGTGGGTGCCGTGTCCCCCAGGCCGGCGGGGTGTGTTCAGCGGCTGCTCGGGGCTGCACATCGCGTACCTGAGCGGCACGGAGGCGCAGGAGCAGCCGGCTCCCGCCCACAGCTTCAGCGCCAAGGACGTGGAGGAGCTCAAAACATCCCTGTTATCCACCCCAAACTTCAGAGGAGTGGACATCCTGCTGACCTCCCCCTGGCCCAGGGACGTGGGCACCTTTGCCAACAGCGCGGTAAGTGGAGCGGTTCCCGGTCTCCGGGTGGATTTGACAAAGGATTGCCTTTTGCTTGCTGTGGCAGCTTGGGCTGTTGGGCTGTCTCAGGAGTGCATGAGAAAGCTGGGAGTAAAAAAAGGACAGTTTGGTTCTTCAGAAAAGAAGGACTGAAGGGGAGGAGGATTTGTGAAGCTTCAGGGGGGTTTATCTGTCCCTGCCTGGAGGATCCAAGTGAGGGGCTTTCACCTGATCACAAACGTTGCTCTGATTTCAGTTGGTTGCAGCTGCTGTCAAATGAAGCTGCTGCTCTCTGAGGAGCAATGCTGTGCTCTAAGCACCTCCAGTACCACTTGACATCACGTCATTTTTTCCCCCCCTTCCAAACTTTTGAAGCATTCTGGTGTTTATTTCCTCAAGTATCAGTCAGCTGATCTGGTTGTTCCTCCATCTGGACTTTGAGCATGTTGTTTCATTTGTGTCCAGTTTTGTGTTGTTATTGTTCCTTAGCAGAAGGGATTTTCCAGTTGTAAGTTCAGATGATCTCAGACCTTCCTGGAGAGCAAGGCTGCACACGTGGCAAAAGGACATTGTTTGCTCTCAGTTTCTTCCAACGTCCAAAAAGATGCTCAGTGTAACAGCATTAAGAACCTTCCCTGATCTTGGTCTTATCTTATGCATTATCTTGTAAGATGATATATGTATATCTTATAAGATTCCCTTATGCACTGAGATCCTGACAAAATTGGATTGATGAAACAAGTGGATGCAAACTCTGAATACACAGAGTGGAATAAATGAGTAGGCTCTGGTTGGCAATAAAAGATCAAACCCTCTGGGCTTTTTTCCCCCACTTCCAGGGAATGGCAACCACTGTACTACACACCCAACATGTAGTTCTGTATAAAACTGTTTCTTTTCGCTGCACTCTGACAGGTTTAAATAAAACTTGGCTTGTATTGTGCAGGGAGAAATAGATACCAAGAAATGTGGCTCCAAGTTGGTGTCAGATCTGGCTGCAAGTCTCAAACCAAGGTACCATTTTGCTGCCCTGGAGAAGGCCTATTACGAAAGACTTCCTTACAGGTTTGTAAGATCTTGTGAAATCTCCTTTGTTTTCTAGTAAGAGTTCTGTTTTGGAAGAACACAGGAAGGTTGATGTGCTGTCTGAGTATCTTTTCAATGCTTCATGTACCTGTAGAGCCATGTTTTGCTTCCTTACAGAAATCACACAGTGCTACAGGAGACCCCACAGCACGTGACCAGGTTCATTGCACTTGCTGATGTTGGCAATACAAGCAAGAAAAAGGTACTGACACCCTCTAATCTTTCTTCTTTTGTCAAGTACAGTTGTAGGGCAGTAAGCCCAGCTTTGGCCAGCTAAAGGACAGCATCAAGACTTAAAAGCTTGACTGAAGTGGAGGTGTCTGTCTCACTTGAGTAATAGGTACCATTAGCCTGTTATGTCAGAAGGGTGAGGGCTGCAGGCACAAATCACCGAGAATAACTGATTTCTGGGATGGGAAGGGGCTGTTTGTTTTTTTTTTTAACCTGTTTCTCTTCTCCCCTTATGAAAGTTACCGAATATTGGTGCAAAAGGACAGGTTGGTAGTGGTTAAAAACTTGCAGTGTCCAGAGTTAAGAAATTCTGGCCACAGTGGTGAAGTTCACTTGGCTGCTGTCCTGCAGACAAGGAGTTCTCTGGCATTCCAAACATACTGGTTTTTTGTCCTTTGGCAGTCCCTCTTTCTCATTCTCATTCCTCTAGTAATTAATACATTCAGCATAAAAGTAAACTCAAATAAAATCCCTAATAAGCAACACAGAGGAGAAGACTCTCCCATTCCTGAGGCTGAGGGATACTCCGAATGAGTAGTCAGGGAGTAAATTCCCACAGCATGGTGTGTGCTGCTCGCAGTGAGTAACTGCTAACAGAAAAGGTTCTGGGCAGAAAGAAGGCCTGGAAACGGGCAAGGATCAAGGTTGTGTCTCCATCAAGTAGGATACACTGGTGCTTTTCAAAGAGATCTTTCCTTAAAGTGAAAGCAGCACCTTGGGAGCACTCCATAAACTCCTGGTTGCACTGGGTGGGACCCTGGCACAGGGGGGGTGTTTTTCCATGCCCTGATGTGCTGAGTTGTGCTGGTATGTGATCCCTTCAGAGGTGCAGTCCTTGCCCCTGAGCCCCCTGTGCTTGTTGCAGTACCTCTATGCCTTCAGCATCGTGCCCATGAGCTCCATGGACCCCGTGGAGCTGGTGAAGCAGCCGCAGGACGTCACCGAAAATCCCTACCGGAAACTGCGCAGGGAGGCTGCCAAGGCCAGAGCAGAGGTACCGCCCTGGGCCCCTCCTCGTGGGAGTGGGAGGTGGTTGGTGTGCCCCTTCTTAAACCAGCTGTGTCCTGGGCTCGTCCCACAGCGTGGCCAGGGCAGGGCAGGTAATGCTGCACCTCCTCTCTGCTCTGCTGAGACCCCACCTGCAGTGCTGCCTCCAGCTCTGGGTCCCCCAGCATAACGAGAACGTGGAGCTGCTGGAGCGGGTCCAGAGGAGGCCATGGAGATGCTTCAAGGGCTGGAGCACCTCTGCCCTGTAGCCAGGCTGGGAAAGCTGGGGTTGTTCAACCTGGAGAAGAGAAGGCTCTGGGGAGTGGCCTTTCAGTCTTAAAATCTTCAGCCATCAGAAAGATGGGGACAAGATTTTTTTAGTAGGGCCTGTAGCTACAGGACAGAGTGTCAAGTCTGCTGCATTGCTTGGGAAGCTCAGTTCATTCTGTTCCAGGATGTTCAGGAGGCATTTCTTCACAGAAAGGGTGGTCAGGCGTTGGAAGGGGCTGCCCAGGGAGGTGGTAGAGTTCCCATCCCTGGAGGAGTTCAAGGAGCAACTGGATGTGGCATTTAGTGCTCTGGTCTGGTTTACAAGGTGGGGATCAGTCACAGGGTGGACTTGATGATCTTGGAGGGGTTTTCCAACCTTGGTGATTCTGTGATGTTGATGCTTTTCAAAGGTGGTTCACACCTCTGCAGGAAAAATCTTATTCCTGGATGTACTGTCACTCTCTGGGATGCAGATCTAACGGGCTTTGCTTTTCATTTTGTGTACAGGAAGAACCAGCTCGTCAGTTTTTCTTTGACTTGAACAAGCATCAGGGAAAGAAACGTCCCTCAGATGGGAAACAGGGAGGGGACTCCCAGCCTAAGCAAGCCAAGAAACCCCGTAAGTAGGAGGCTGCATTTTTCCTGAGCTCTTCCCTTGAGCCATTGGATCGTGTCCTGACCTTCCTCAGGCTGCTGAGCTGGATATGTCAGTTTGCCAGGGAGCTCTGTCACCACGCCGGGCACTGGGGGAATGCAGGAGGATGAAGGGACTCTTGTTTCCAAGGGAAAATATGTTTCAATAGGTGAAAGGAGAGTCAAAAGCATAGTTTAAAAGCTCGTTGGCCCGTGGTGGTTGTGGTTGGGCTGATGCCACTCACCCTCTGAACCAGACTGGCTTCTGAATGTGACAGTTGGCAGTGTCACAAAGCTCAGCTCAGGTACTGCAATTTGGGTGTGAATCCAGGTGTTTTGATGTGTGAATAGGCCAGAACTGACAAGTGTGTTTGACAGCCCCTGCCCTTGTCTGTACCCAGGCAGTGATTGTACCTCAGTTTGATTTGTTTGTTTTAATTTACTGGTGCTTTCTTATTAGTGAGCTGTAACTACTGAACTCCTGGAATCAGTGCTCTTTCATTAGGTTAGAGCACTCCATGACAATGGCAGTCAGCAGGGTGTGACTTCCACCTCCTCTCTTGCTGGAATTTCCCAGAGGCACCAGTCTCCTGACCAGACCTGCTTCCAGGAGCTCTGTCCTTCTGACACCTTCAGCACTTGATCACCTGGGAAGGGTGGCTGGAAAACAACAGGTCTTCTGTGTTCTGCCAGATATGCCTCGTGCTAATCCTTGTTTCCTTTCCCAAAAAGCACAGCCCACGGGGCCCTGCTGGTTCTGCCTGGCCAGCCCGGAGGTGGAGAAGCACCTGGTTGTCAGTATTGGCACACACGTAAGTACCCGTGGCAATGTAACATACCAGTCTCCAATCTGAAAAAACCCAAACAAACTTTATTTGCAATCGCTCTTGGGTTTGTTTTCAGTTTCTTTGTATCTCCCATACAAAAGACACAAGTATAAACTCTTAGAAGTAAAGCGTGGCCGGTTTTGTTATGGCAGCAGAGCTGGATTCTGGTGTCAGAACACCTTTTGCTGTGCCAGCCCTATGTTACCATCTGGCAGAACGTTTCCAGCTGGAGCTCAGTGTAAACTGGGACCTGCTTTGGCAGCAGGATGCACTGTCTGGAGTTGTGCAGGATCTCCCTGGTCCCAGGTTGGTTATATACAGATGAAACAGAAGATACCTTCCAAGTCAACATCTCAAAGTACATCTTGGAGATTAATTCAATCACTGAATGAATGATTGATTCATGCACTTCACTTAAAGCTATTGCTCCTCTATAGCACAGTCCACTTCAAACTGCTACTGGGACAGGTTGGTCCACAGGCTTAATTTAAAATTTTAGATGGATTTTCGTGTCAGAGTTAAGAGATTCTGGCCACAGTGGTGAAGTTCACTCAGCTGCTTTCCTGCAGACAAGGAATTCTCTGGTGTTCGAAAGATACTGGGTTTTTTGTCCTTTGGCAGTCCCTCTCTCTTATTCATCTAGTAATTAATACATTCAGCATAAAAAGAAACTCAAATAAAATTGCTAATTAACAATCCCTAATAAGCAACATAGAGGAGAAAACTCTCCTGTTCCTGAGGCTGTGGGATACTTGGAATGAGAGGTCAGAGAGCAGATTCCCCCAGCACGGTGAGCGTGTGCTGCTTGCAGGGAGTAACTGGTGTGTATTGTTTCACTCTAGTGCTACCTTGCCCTGGCCAAAGGGGGCCTGTTACCTGACCATGTCCTGATTTTGCCCATTGGGCACTATCAGTCAGTGGTGGACTTGTCCTCAGAGGTGCTGGAAGAAGTGACCAAGTACAAGGCTGCCCTGAAGGAGTTTTTCAGAAGCAAGGGAAAGAGATATGTCCTATTTGAAAGAAACTACAGGAGTCAGCATCTGCAGCTGCAGGTATGGTTTGGGTGTCACCCTGGGAGGATATAAACTCATACTGAGTACAAACCTCACGTGAAGTGAGAGTCATTCAGGGGTTTATTGTGGTGGTTTCTGTGTGTGGCAGATCTGTGAGTGTATCAGAACTGTACCAGAACTACCACAGAGATCAGAAAGGAGAAGGCAGTGCTGAGAACTTGAAGCTTTCAGTTTTCAGCAATTTGTTCAGCTCCTACAGAAAAAAAAATCTCATAAGTTTAAGCCTGTAGAGATGGGTGGTCACCTGTCTCGTGTGATGAGGCTGAGCTGTACTGAGGGGCACACCAGCTCCAGTGATGCACTGATGGCTTTCTGCAAGGGCCCTCTGTGCCTTGTCTGCTTGTCACGGACGTGCCCTCTCTCTCCAGGTGATTCCTGTCCCACTGGACCTCTGCACTTCTGAAGACATTAAAGAGTCTTTTATTACACAAGCACAGGAACAACAGATTGAGTTGTTAGAAATCCCAGAGCACTCGGATATCTCGCAAGTATGAGGCCACATTTCACCTGTTCTTTCCCTCTGTCCTGCTTAGGCTCCTCTTTCCCTCTGGGGTCACTTTGTGGGGTAAGGTTAAGCTGTTGGAGGCAGAGCCTCGTAGACTTTATTTGGGATTCATTCCTGGATTCATTCCTTCTGGTGCCAAACACCAACCCTCTTTTCAGCACATCAGGTAGTTTTAGGTTCTGATTTTGACAGGCTGATTTATCAGCTGAGGAATGGGAGCGTGGCCTCTTCACTGGCTTTTCTTCCTCTAGAACTGTGCTGTGCTAGTCCAGGGTGACCCAGCTGAGGTTAAGAGTGACCAGACATGCCTGGTTCTCTCTAATGGCTGCAGTCACTGCAGAACTAAACCACAAAAAATATTCCAGTAGTGCCTGGAGTGCATCATCCACTGGTGCTCTCAGAGGAAGCGACCCATCGCTATGGAAGGGACTGTTTGAACTCCCACCATCCCTCTCCAGCAGGTCTCTCTGAGGTGCCTGTGAAGAGGTACCTTTCCTCTCTGAAGAGAGGGAAGATAGGACACATCTGCTCTCTTCTTAGAGCCAGTGTCTCTTCCCACCTTTGTGCATGGAATGGGTAGTCAGGCACTGGAAGGGGCTGCCCAGGGAGGTGGTGGAGTCCTCATCCCTGGAGGCATCTAAAAAACGGCTGGATGTGGCACTCAGTGCTCTGGTCTGGGTGACAAAGTGGTGATGGGTCCCAGGTTGGACAGGATGGTCTCGGAGGCCTTTTCCAGCCGAATGGATTCCGTGATTCCCACCGGGTCCCGCCTCGCTGTCCCCCGCAGGTGGCGCAGCCGGGGATGCCGTACTTCTACGTGGAGCTGGACACGGGGGAGAAGCTGTTCCACCGCATCCGCGGGCGGTTCCCGCTGCAGTTCGGCAGGTGGGTGCTGGCCCCGGCCCCCTCCCCGCGGTGCTGTGGCCGCGGCAGGGTGTCATGTTGGTGACGGGCGGTGCCGCTGTGTTGCAGGGCGGTGCTGGCGAGCGCGGCGGTGCTGGCGCTGCCGGAGCGCGCGGACTGGCGGCAGTGCGCGGCCCCGCGGCCCGAGGAGGAGGGGCAGGCCCGCGCCTTCCGCCGCGACTTCCAGCCCTTCGACTTCTCCCTCCGGGACTGAGGCGGCGCTGCCGGCGGCGGCCCCGCGCGGGGCCGGGCGGTGACGCGGCGATCAAGGCGGAGAGCGGGAGCGGCGGCCGGGCCATGGAGCGGGGCGGGCCCCCCGCCGGCCCCGAGCGGGCCCCCGGCGGGGCGGCGCTGCGCGGGCACCCGGCCGGCGCCTGCGGGCCCTGGGAGATGCGCGACCGCCTGGGCACCGGCGGCTTCGGCAACGTGTGCCTGTACCAGCACCAGGTGGGGCCGGGCCGGGCGGCGGGGGGGGCACGGCCGGGCCGGGCCGGCTGACGGCGCTGTGTCCCGCAGGACTCGGGCGACCGCGTGGCCATCAAGTCGTGCCGGCTGGAGCTCAGCGTCAAGAACAAGGACCGCTGGTGCCATGAGATCGACATCATGAAGAAGTGAGTGCGGGCGAGCCGGCACGGCACGGCCCGGCATGGCATGGCACGGCGGCACCGCACCGGCACGGCCGGGAGAGGGCACAGCCCCGGGACAGACAGCCCCGAACGGCCGGGAGAGGGCACAGCCCCGGGACAGACAGCCCCGAACGGCCGGGAGAGGGCACAGCCCCGGGACAGACAGCCCCGAACCGGCCGGGAGAGGGCACAGCCTGGGGTCAGCCCATGAACTGACCGGGAGAGGGGACAAGCAGGGCCTCGGCCCCCGAACCGGCCGGGGAGTGGGACCGTGGTGCGGGGACAGCCAGGGGAACAACAGCCGAGGATCAGCCCCGGGACAGAGTAGGAGAGGGGACAGCTGGTACAGCTGGTGGTCAGTCTCTGAATGGGCTGGGGAGAGGTGCCCGTACCCTGCGGTACGTTTGTTTTAGCAGCTGGAGGGCCTGGAATTGCTTTTTTTCTGTCACGCTCCCGAATGTAAAGAATAAACTCTCCTTATACTTTCTGCTGAGAAGCTCCATCCTCTGTGCTGCCCAGTATCCATTTTCAGCGTGTCACTGAGGTACCTGGGAACCACAGCTGGCCAAGCTGGACCTCACTGGAGTGTTGGGATCTCACAGAATGGTTCCTTTGCCCCGTGAATTCCTCCTTACTTTTGAGAGAGGTCCTGGAGCAGGGAATGCTCTGTCCCACTCCTGGGAGCTGGGATGCTCTGAGCTGCCCTCCCCAAGGCCTGCAGTGCCCCTGCTGTTTAGGGCTTTACTGAGCTCCTGCTGTCACTTTGTCACCCTCACCTGCTCCCTGTGTGCCCTGACACTGGGGGAAACCACTTGCAGGGAACCTGAGTTTGTCAGTCAGGGCTTGGTGATCCCTGTTGTGGTTGCTGAAAACAAGCAGTGAGCCACACAGCTACAGCTGCTCCTGTGGGTGTACACAGAAGTAATTTGTCTTCATTCCCCATCTGGATATGTCGTTTATTCCCAAGAGCAGCGTAAATTAGAGACAGTCGGGAAATAGCTGTTAGAATTCAGTTGGAGAAATTAATTAATCCTTCCCTCTGTACGTGGATTTCACCTGCCCGGTGCAGTGACACGGATTCCTACAAAACCCCCTTTCCCAGGGGGAATCTGGCCCCACATGCAAAAGCAGGCACACATATGTAATGACTTTGCTAGGAATGTGCAAGAATCCAGAACTTGAGCCTGGATCCTCCTCATCAAAGTCCTGTACCTTGACTTTGAGACATCGTTTGTGCTCATCCCTGGTTTGTGTATTCCCAAGGTATGGAATTTATGCACTTGGATACCGGTGGGTACTAGTTAAAGAGAACACATTTGGGGAACAGAGGCTGTCCCAGGAACATAAAACGTGGTTGGATTGCAGTCTTGTCTCACCCTTCCAAGAGAGGGGGGCAGAGTTCTCACCCAGCTTTCCATGTGCTTAGGTTGAACCATCCCAACGTAGTCAAAGCCTGTGAAGTTCCCGAGGAGATGAACTTTCTGGTTAACGACGTTCCCCTCCTGGCCATGGAATATTGCTCGGGGGGCGACCTCCGGAAGGTAACGGCTGCTCTGCTTCCAGGGTGCACCAATCCAGGGGCAGTGACGCTGTGTGTGTCACCAGAGCACCTGGCTCTCCAGGGACAGGCGTGAGGAAGTAAATGTGAAGTGGGGAAAAAAGCCACACGTGGGAAATGAGGCTTGTGTTTTAGAAAGCAGAGGGCAATGCAAGGGGCAGATACTCTTTTATCCTGGTGGAGTGTGTCATTTCCATACCCTGGATTTAGGAAGCAGCAGTTTCTACAGGGGGAAAGCTGCAAATCCCTGTCACAATTTGCTTGGAAATTGCCTCATCTACATGCTCAGGAAATTAGCTCTACTTGCAGTGTCTGATCATTTAATTTCTAATGAGCCCTTCAGTGTTGCACAGATGCTGGAACAATTTAGGAAGTAATGGTTTTCATTTCGTTGGATCCCTGTAATGCTTTGTTCATGAAAGGAAAAAAAATAATCCTTTTTTTTAAATTTGTGATGTGTTCTTTAAATCTTTCTCCTGTTTGGCATCATTTGTGCTTCACATCACTGGTAATTTCTCATCATGGATCTATCATGAGGGCAGAGGCACCTCAGTCATCTCTAAAAGCCTCAAGTGCAGTCAAAGTCAGAAATTGCTGAAGCTGCTTATTGACAGCTCGTTAAGACACTGATTGGGGGATGGAAAATGTTGTTCTTCTCTGTTGCACTGTGAGTCTAAACATGTGGTTTTTTTTTTATTGCAGCTGCTAAACAAACCAGAAAACTGCTGTGGACTTAAGGAAAGTCAAATCCTTTCTCTGCTTAGTGACATCGGTGCGTAGTCTTATGGCCTTTCCTGTGGGGTTTTTTTGGGGTTGTTCTGGGTTTTTTAATGTGTAATGGCATTTTGCTTTTTCAGCTGACTGTGAAAAGGGAACTGCCAAGAACAGGGCATTAAAACAAATCAGGTTTCTATCTCAGAGGAAGGATTTGGTGTCCCTGGAGTTAACAGAGACCAGAAACTCCCACTAGTGATGTGTCTGTGGAATGGGACTGGAAAAGCTGTGGTCAGGTGTAGGTGACCATGACATTAATGTTTTGTTAAGGTCACGGTTTTCTGTTCAAACCTCACTTCTGCTGATGCCAAACCACTTATCACTTGAAGGAATGTAATTTTACAAGGCAAAAAGCACTGACTGATGTGAGAAGTGCCAGAGTTGCCCTGTGGCATCTCTGTGTAGGGTTGGCTTAGCAGGAGGGAAATTCTGTTTGTTCAGGGTGACGGATGTCTGATACCACGTGGATTTGGGATTCTGCAGTTTGGAAAGGGAGCAGGCAGGGTGAGAGGGGCTCCAGATGACAGCAGTGCTCACAGGGAACAATTGCATTTGATGCCTTTGTGTACCTGCTTTAAAGCCATTCCCCAAGGCTGGAGTAATCTGTGAAAACCTTCATGTGACACAAACTTGAGGTGTTTAATCATATACCTCATTTGTCAGGCTGTTGAGCTGTGGCTTGCTGGATGCCATAAGAAAATTATAGATGTGAGAATTGAAGCTGGCCCTCCTGTCCTGGACACCCTGATGGAGGGTGATGCCAGGGTTTCTCCACGAGCTAGGCTTTCCAAGAGAGCTCCTTGTTTTCTCGTTTCTCTCACAGATAATTTGTAGGAACAGAGCTAGTTTTGGCATGAGAAAGCATTTTGGAGTACTGGCCTATCCTTGCAGTGCTCAGAGGGCTTCCAGTTCTGTCCCTGAACTAAAAAGCAGCTCTGCTTCCTTCATCCTTGTTCCCCTTCTCCCCTTGGAGAAGAAATGCAAGTTTGAAGCTGTTAAACATGTGAGCGGTGGTAAATCTTTGAAGGTTGGGGACTTGCTCCCCAGTATTGTATTTTATCAGATGTATCTTTAATCAATGTGGGTTTATTTTCAATTAAATCAAACACGTGTCTTTCAGGGTCTGGTATCCAGTATTTGCATGAAAACAGAATTATACACAGAGATTTAAAGCCTGAAAATATTGTTCTTCAGGATGAAGGTGGGAAGGTAAGTCAGGTGGCCTCTGTCAGTGGTGTCTCCATTGTCATTTCTGGGAGTTGTCACACTGAACTGGACTGAAAACTCAGCTGTGAATTTACTGTCAGCTTTAACACTGTCACGTGTTGAAGCCCTGCCACGGACTTTCTCCAGAATTTCCATTCTTTCCTCGTCTTGATTGTATGCTGTGGATTGTATGCTGTCACTGTGCAGATTTTGGGTTGTTTGGTTGTTTTTTTCTTGGCATTTGCTCTTCTGATGAACTGTTAAAACTGTCTGCAGATTGTCCACAAAATAATAGACCTGGGATATGCAAAGGATCTGGATCAAGGAAGTTTATGCACTTCGTTTGTTGGAACATTACAGTATTTGGTAAGCTCTAGAGCTTGGCCCAGCCAAGCCCTGAAACCTCCAAAAATGGAGATCCTGGGGAGCTGTCCCCAGGGTGTCCTTTCCTCATGTCCATCATGAACCTCCCAGATGGCTGTCTGGGGCTGTTGCCCCTTGTTGCATCACCTGTGGCTTCCAAGGGGAGTTAGATCCCATCCATCCCTTCCTGTGCCATGACTGGGGGCTGCTCTCATCCCCCAGCCAGACCCAACAAGTCCAGCTCCCTCCCATCTCATGGGTTGGCTGCTCCAGGCCCTGACCCACTGGACAGCTGGAGCTGGAGCTGGGAGCCACACCTGGACACAGCTTTGCCTCTGCAGAAATGCAAGGAAATACCACTGTCAAAGTGTCTTTTTATGATCCTTTTTAGGCTCCAGAACTCTTTGAGAATAAATCCTACTCGGTTACTGTTGATTACTGGAGCTTTGGGACGATGGTGTTTGAGTGCATTGCAGGATTTAGACCTTTCTTACATAATCTACAGCCATTCACCTGGTAAGACACTTTTTCTTGGGGAGGTGCTTGTAAGTGCTTGTATGTTGTGTGGTGGCCTCTGGTCATTGGTAACTCCTTCACAAGCAAAATTTCAATCAAAAAAATATCGTTATAAACCAGTCTGTGTGTCAGAGGCAGAAAACAGGAAACTCGGGTTTCTGTTCCGAGTTTGTTTTCTAAAGCTGCTGGACACTGGCACTTTTTGCTGCTGACATATTCAACTGCCCCCTGACAA